CTGCAAGTTGTTTGACATCCGAAAGACCAGGATAATGCCACTTCACCCACAGTCCGATGGGATGGTAGAAAAGTACAACTGAACACTGGGACAGGAATTGGCAAAGTTTTGTGTTAGCCACCAAGACGACTGGGATGTCTTACTCCCTCCACTGTTGATGGCCTATAGGGCAGCAGAGCATGAAGCCACTGGATACACTCCAGCAAAGTTGATATTTAGTCGGGAACTTCGGTTGCAAGTGGATCTCTTAACAGGACGCCCACCTTATGAAGAGTTGCCTGAAAGAATAAACTAGCTTTATTTAAGGAAGGACTTGTATCACTAACGTTTCTTCAGAAAGAATTTTTAAGGAAAATTAACAAACAAACAGAGACGTAACAGTAGGATTGACTGTCACATTACACAGGTGAAAAAGCAAGCATGTTCAGTAACATGTTTTGATCCCATGACTCGTACATTGTGAGTTGAGCATCCAAACTAAAAGGATACACCAGATTTTAATAATAATAACCTCATACATTACTTTATTTGATGAGCTTTTAAGTTAAATTTAATGGTTTTTACAATTAATGTCAAACATTTAAGATAAAAAATAATTAAGATGCAATTCATACAGTTTCACACTTTATAAAATCTTTTTCTATATTGAATTACTACTAAAAACAGAAAAATGTAGGTATATAAGTCCATATTTAAGACAGTTTAAATTCAACTATGTAAATATGATGGTAAATTGTTACAACAACCAAAATTACTTTAAGTTAGTGATTTCAGGGTTAATCTGAGAGATATCTTCCCATTTTAAGTGGTTGTTTATAACAAAATCTTCTAATACTCTTTTCTCTGAACATGTTGACTGACATCAATACTTTTAAAGTTCATTTTCGAAATGTGTATATTGAATTTAAATATCTAGAAATGTCAAGATTTAGACAAAATAAAACTGTTTATCAATATTTTATTTATTTTTTTTATCGTGTTTAGAACAGAATAATCTCCATACAAACTCAATGATTATTTTCTTCAACATAAAAAATCATGAGACTGGAGGTTTGGAGTCAATCAAGTCACAGAAGGCTGTAAGTGTTTATTCAAATCCATGAAAATCAATCATAGCAGTACATTCTTAGTATATACTGGAATATTAACATAAAGATACTGGTTCTAATGATTTGCTAAATTTCTTTTCTTGTCAACATTAACACAGAATAATTCCCAATTACAGGTATCAAAAACACACCAAAGATAGATCTATACACCTTAATCCTGTCTCTTGTGGTTCAACAACTTATAAACACATTCAATAGTTGTTACCGTTTGTTCCAAGTTATTCACAACACAGTAGACAACAGTATTGTTATGACAGCGAGGGTCACGTGACACTAGTAACACGTCATATTCTCAAACGTTCACGTCCCTTCCTGAAGTCTCGAGAGGTTACTAGATATGCGGTATTCTTGTATATATATATAAGACGGCCAAAAAGTGATGGCAACAATGTAATTGAGCTGCAGACAGAGAGAGACTGATGACTGAGTCGAGCACATGAGTCGTTTGTTGTGAATTATAGTGTTTGTTTTAGCATGACTGTGGAAATTAAGTGTATTGCAAAGTTGTATTCAGAAAGAATAAACCAGTTTTATTTAAGAAAGGACTTGTGTCACTAAAGTTTCATCTGAAAGAAATTATACGGGAAACAAACTAACAACTATAGGCGTAACATTATGTTTTCTCTTAAGTATTTTTAATCTATCTTTTTTTGCAAACTGTTTTCAATAAACTGAAAAACTGTAAGTTATCTCTACAGTATGTATCCTTTATGATATTTTAAAACACTATTTGTTCTAAACTCTTTATTACATACTACATGACTGTAAGGTTTCACACCAGTATGTATTCTCTTCATGTTTTTTAACTTAAGAGATACTTTGAAATAGCTTTCTGCAAAACTTTCAACTTCAGGGTTTCTATTAATTATGTATACATTCATATGTTAAGGAACTGCTTTATCCAAAGTCTTTTTCACACATTGTACAAATTTAAGGATTCTCTTTTTTTCCCAAGCTGTTTTCGACAATTTATACAACAATACAGTTTTTCCTCAGTGTGTACTTTCATGTATTTTTAAAGTACTCTTTGTTACAAACTGTTTCTACAATCTGTACAGTTGTAAGGTTTCTCCCCACTATGTATTCTTTCATGTACTTTTAAAAGATCCTTTTCTCTAAACCATTTTTCACACACTGTACAACTGTAAGGTTTCTCCCCAGTGTGTATTCTTTCATGTATTTTTAATTGACTCATCCATCTAAACTGTTTTTCACACACTGCACAACTGTAAGGTTTCTCCCCAGTGTGTTTTCCTTACTGTATTTTTAATTCACTCTTCCTTTTAAACTGTTTTTCACACACTATACAACTGTAAGGTTTCACTCCAGTGTGTATTTTATCATGTTTTTTAAGCAACCCTTTATTCCAACTGTTCTTCACACACTGTACAACTACAAGGTTTCTCCCCAGTGTGTATTCTTTCATGTATTTTTAAATAATCCTTGTTTCCAAACTGTTTTTCACACACGCTGTACAACTAAGAGATTTCACCCCACTGTGTATTCTTTTATGTACTTTTAATTGACTCTTCCATCTAAACTGTTTTCCACACACTTTACAACTGTAAGGTTTCTCCCCACTATGTATTCTTTCATGATCTTTAAATGATACTTTTCTCAAAACCGTTTTTCACACACTGTACAACTGTATGGTTTCTCCCCACTGTGTATTCTTTCATGTACTTTTAACTGACTCTTCCATCTAAACTGTTTTCTACACTCTGTACAACTGTAAGGTTTCTCCCCACTATGTATTTTTTCATGTTCTTTTAAATGACACTTTTGTCTAAACTGTTTTTCACACACTATACAACTGTAAGGTTTCACTCCAGTGTGTATTTTGTCATGTTTTTTTAAGCGACCCTTTGTTCCAAACTGTTTTTCACACACTCTACAACTGTAAGGTTTCTCCCCAGTGTGTTTCTTTGATGTATTTTTAATTCACTGTTTTTTCCAAACTGTTTTTCACACACTGTACAACTGTAAGGTTTCTCCCCAGTGTGTATTCTTTCGTGTGTTGTTAAGGCACTCTTGTCTCTAAATTGTTTTCCGCAGTCTGTGCAATTATTTGGTTTCTCCTCAGTGTGTTTTCTTTTATGAATTTTTAAGTTACTGTTTCTTTTAAACTGTTTTCTACAAACTACACAATGATATGGTTTCTCTCCAGAATAAGTCTTCTTTTGTTGTGTTAGGTTATCAAATGTTTTTCCACAACTGTATAGTTTATCATCACACTGATGAATGTTAGATGCTTTTAGGTTATTTCCACTTAATTTTGTTTCTCCACTAATATTGTAATTTTGGGATTTTACGTCTTCTGTAAAGTGATTTTCTTGTTTTATAACATAACCAGGAAACTGACTTCCGCTACAGATGTTCCCACTGGTCTCTTTATCTAAAGTGGATATAAATGATGTCACAAATTAGGTAATAATAAATATATCATACATTACTTAATTTTATGAACATCTAAATATATTTTAATGTTCAAACATGATCAACACAAATATGAATATATAGAAATAATAGAGCTATAACTAAGTTTAATATTTATAAAAACATTTTCTATCCAGAAGAAAATAGCATTAAAAACATAAACTGTTGGTAACGTACCATATTTAAGAGACAATTTTAGTAGGTAACATCTAAAATTGCCTGTACAAATATGATTGTACAGTGCAACACCAACCAACACTACTTTCAGCCAGTGCCTTTCTGGATTAACTGTTAGTATTTTCTAACTTGAAGTGGTGATTATCATGTTATCTTCTAATGATTTGTCTACTTTAACATGTTAATTAACATGAATACTTTATAGTTCCTGTTTAAATGTTCAGTATGTGTTAAATGAATATTTATACATGCCAAGATATATACTAAACTAAAATGTTTATCTACATATTATTTATGAAGTTTAGGTATTATTGAGGCTGTTTCATTACTGACTTCGATATGTTATATTACATGACTGGAGATTTGGGTTGTATAGGCTGTTACTGTTCAGGATAATCCCATTTCTAGAGATAAATGACAGCAGTACATTCTCTGAACATGAAGAACCAGAAAGATAACAAAACTGGTCAGTTAGAAAGTTTCTTAATGTTTCATTTATAGAAACAAGCACTGCTCTCCTATTCATTTTGAGGCAAACGTTTCTTTAAAATTTTAAAAGCACTTTGTTGCCATTTTATCACCTTACACATTAATTTCCAAGTAAAAATAACAAATGACAGTTCCTCCTCTTCAATCTTCATCTGCCATCTAAGCATTCCTAAAATAATTTATGTGATCAGCACACCAGTCTATATACCCCATAACATTTGCGCCATATCTGAACCTGTACATATCATGTGACTACTCTCCACCAATAACATTGAGCCATCTATACTTCTATTTCCACTCAATATTCCCTTTCTTCACTAGCACTGTATTATTTAGGGTTGTGCGTTCCAGTTCAGGGCTATACCATTAGACCAACATCAGCTCCTTATATGTTTTGTCAGGTACTATGCACAATTACCTAATAACTTCACTCCATGGGCCATTGTACTCATGATTACATGGATGACTGGCTCCTGCTCGCCTCTTCCAGTCCTCAGTCATAGGACCACAAGCAACATAGATGGGTTTAATGTCTATTCTTACCCTACTCAATACCTTATTTATTTGGAGGTTTTCTTCAATTACAACCTTAGTTGGGCCCAGCCTTCTCCTCTTCGTCTTTGGGACATAGAGCAAACAGTACAATGGCCTTCATGTTACATTCTCTAACAGCTCAATCGGTTTTATTTTGAGGATGTGGAAACTACTTGGAAATTCTCGTTCCTATTTGTCAAGCTCATATGCATTCACTTCATTGGATACTTGTCGATCACTGGAGCATCTCCATGGATCCCTTGGACCACCCTGCTACCTTTCCTTCTGTGTTGATTTCTCTTAGTGGCTTGACAGGAACCAGACCATGGTCGGAGTTCCCCTTCCTCTGCCTTGTCCAGAGTTATACTAGTCCAGGGTTGCATCTTTAGAGGGTATGGGTGCTTTCCTTGACTCTTGAGAGATTTATTAGTTTGTGGTCTGTCGAGCAGTCTGCCCTACATATCAACAGATGACCGTTCTTCAGGGTTTGTCCCATTTCCTTCATCTCCTGTAGGGGGTTTAGCATCCACTACGAGAATTTCACTGTTATCAATTGTATCACTAAGCAAGTTGGAACTAAATGCAGGTTACTGTGTTTTTAAACTCTGGATATCCTTTTCTGAACTCACAATCACCACATGGTGATCTTAGCTGACCATGTTCTTGGTGCTGTGAATCTGGTTGTGGATCAATTATTTCATCCTAATCAGATTCTTCTAATGAAGTGGTCCTTTCATCCTCATGTCTTTCAGTTGGTGTGGGAAACACCTCATATCAATGCCTTTATCATACAATAGAACACCAAACTTCCTTCATATTGGTCTCCCATTCCACACCCAGTTCAGTCAAGATTGGAGGTGTCTTCACATCTATGCCTAACCTATTATTCAACTTCTGTCCAGAGATGTACCCTCATCAAAACCACTTCATATTGGCCTGCACAGCCACGGATCCCTCTGCTCTGGCCTTTACTTGTACAATCTCCCCTACCTTTACCCCTGTCTTGGTCTCTACTCTGTTAACTTTGATCAGACATTGTCCATCCAAATTTCACCAAACTCCTTCACGCATCACTTTTGTCGAGTCCATTGTCTCAGCTCAGGAACAGAATCTTCGTGTCACATCCTTCCTTTCTTGAACGATCAGACCTTCTTCCATAGCCATTTAACAACTGCAATTGTCTGATGCCATGATTGGTTTCACATGGTTTCTCTCTTTGTCATCCATCTGTTTTCATCTTTCCCAATTCTTCACAATGTTGTTTGATATGGGCTTGTCTGCTTTGACCATGTCTAGCTATTGGGTAGCTCTGTCAAACACCTTTCCTTTCTCTAGGATTTTTCTTCTCCTGTCATTTCTTTCCTTTTCCAATCCTTCCATGTCCTTCTTTTTCACATGATTTGGATTAAAATGTGGTCCTTTATGCCCTTTCCATTTCTCCATATTAAACATTTTCTATACATTCCTTGTACCATCTCTCCCTCAAGACCGATTTCCTCCTCCTCCTCATTGATTGTGCACATCATCATACAGATATTTATTCCATTAATGTTTCTCCCATCATTTAACATTACTATTATATCGTCCTCTATCCCAACTGATCCTTCATCCCTAAAACCCATGCTACCATGAAAGGTTGTTTGGCTTATTCAATCATTTCCTTGCAGTCCATCTCCCAAATGTTTTTATATTCTGGTCCAGATAGGCTTCTTTTTCTGGTTTGATCCTACAGGTGTTATTTGGCACACTCTTATTTACAAAGTTCACATTTCCAACTTTTCATTCCCTGAAATTATCCCATTTCCTATGACTTGTCACTGTCACTCACAATTGTTGGGTTCGTTCATAAACTCTATAGGCTGGTGTATTTGAACTTGTCTATTGATAGTTGACATCTCCACAATGTTTGTTCTAATCAAGTTCATCACATCATTATATACTTGGCTGCTTTTCTTTATCATTCTTTGGAGAAAGTTGTTTAGGCTGAAATGTGGACTACTACCACTCCCTTGGTTACTCATTATCTACATGATCTGGCTGTATCTTCCTCCCATGGCTATTCTGCACACATCCATTCACCTCTGACTGGGGTAAATCTTATCAATTCCTTTCATTTATGTTTTCTTTTCGGAAACCAGTATAAACCACTATTATAGGGATCCCACTCCGTGGTAGGTGTTGCCTGGTTGGGTGTTCTGTGCCTCAAACACGTACTATTTACTGTTTGCAATATAATGTTGCTGTAGAAATGGGGTTTCCACAAGACCGCTGGTGGCTTGCCAAGTGGTATCTATATATCAGTACCTTTAATTCTCTGATGGACCATCACTCATGGACTTCATGAGTAAAGTACAAGGGAATTCCTACCCATCCCTGCCAACCCTTTAATTGAATAAATCAAGGTTGGCCTGTTTTCAAAATAGGGTATCATGGACACCCATTGAACTTTCTCCAGTGTGATGTTCCTTTAGTCTTCCCAACATATTTTCCTCCTTTTTTCTTTCCACTTCCCATTTTCGAGTTGCTGAGGTGGGAAACTATGGAGGCTTTTTCCTGAGTGAGTTTGGGATCCTCCTTGCTATGCTAGGTTTGGGATGACAGTGCCCTGTTCCCACAATTGGGTGTATTGGATGCCTCTCTTTTCCTTAATTTCTGTTGCACAAGGTTCTTTCCCTGCTTCTACAATTGAGTTTGGGAGACTTCATCTGCCTTGCAATACCGGCAAAAGGATGTATGGGCTCGGTTTCTATGGTTGGGCAAATGTTCCATGTCCTACTCGTAATCACAGATGCAGGATGTCTCCTATCTGCATTTACAGTTGGGTGAGTTATGATGTTGCCTGTAATACCAGTTACAGCTATTATCCTGCTCTTATAACTGAGTCTAGGCAACAGCATGATCCTGTAATGTCAGATTCAGTTTGTCATACTTCTGCTCCTACAGTTGTTTTGTAAGTTTATAATATTGGTTTCTTGTCGTATGACACTCTGCTTACCTACAGTTGGGGTTAAGAGGTATGTATAAAACAGTCTACATGTCCAAGCCACAGTGTTGTTGTGAGAAATTTTTCATCCTCAAACTCTTAATGCCAAGAATGAATTATGGAACCTTGTTTTTCCATTTGAGGTTGGATATGTACCTAGCTAATTCTGTTTATATGTTACTATAGTTCGCACCTCTCAAAACATTTAAAGCTTGTGCTAGAACTTTTCTTTTCTGCCCATTTTGGATTAATTTCCTACGTCCTAGGGGAAGAGCATACCTCTTCCAGAAAGTAGTCTCACAAGTGTGCTTCATTTTCATCTCCGAGCACACCCATTCATTCTGGGTGGTGGCTTTCCATTGGGTTTGATATCTGTGCAACTACACTGGCCTCTCCACCTTTGTAATGTGGGAATCTAGCTTGGTGTGAAATAATGCAAAACTGTATCGCAAGTTAATATTTTCCTTACACTGAAAATGTATTTCTGATAGGTACTTACTTCTCACGTACATCCCACTCTTCCTCCTTTTAGAGCCTGCCAATTCTTGAGTATGAAGATTGAGCAGAAAAACAGTATAGGTTGTGCAATACTATTGTTGTATAGTCAAACGATATGCATATTTTCATAAATGGCACAAAATTGATGGGGCTCTGATCAAAAATATCTTTTTACCAAATGAAGATTGAGATAGCTTTGTGTTACGAAGGTAAGTACCAACTGGAAATACATTGTCACTGTAAGAAAAATGTTAACTTCAACCATTTCTTTGACGCTC